ACCTCCTCCCCACAGGGCCTGCGATCGATGTCGGCTTCTGGGGGCTTGGCTCCCAAGAGGCTCCCCAGAGGCCCCAGACCTCCTCCCCACAGGGCCTGCGATCGACGTCGGCTTCTGGGGGCGAGGCTCCCAAGAGGCTCCCCAGAGGCCCCAGACCTCCTCCCCATGGGGCCCCCGAGAGGCTTCCGAAGAGACCCCGAGAAGCATCCCTGAGGGCTCTGGCCCACGTCCGCGTCGTCGCCGCCGCCGCAGCCGTTGCCGTCGTCGTCCCCCTTCAGGGTCGGCGGCACGTTCGTAAGGCCTCCGAAGATCGATGTCGGCTTCCGGTGGCTCAGCTCGATCGGACCCCGTGGCCGTCAAGCATCGATCGGGGATGGAAGCGCGGTCACGACAGACCCTGGGAGGGGTCTGGAGGAGGAGGAGGAGGAGGAGGAGGAGGAGGAGGAGGAGGAGGAGGAGGAGGAGGCGGAGGAGGAGGAGGGGGAGGAGGAGGAGGAGGAGGAGGAGGAGGAGGAGGAGGGGAGTGGACGGATTCTGCTTCGGATTCATGCCATTGGAGAGGGCCCCCGAACTCGATGGACCCGACCATCCCTCGGACCTCCACCGAACCTCGGTCAGCCCTTGAACCTCAGTCGCCTGCACCAACAAAAAACATAACCCTCGACCCCACGAGGCCTCGCTCCCCGAGCCTGTATGATCGACGCTCGGTGCCCCGCGCCTCGACGGTCTACGCCCTGCCGAATGCTTAAGGAAATCATGGGTTAAGAAATTATTAGTCTCAGAAGTTGAATAAAAACCCAAAATAATTCTATCAAATCTTAGGATTTACATTGAAACATAAGAATAAAACTGGTGAGACTCTGGCCGAAAATTTTACGTTTTCTTAAGCATCGGCCTAAGGTGTATGCCCCGAAGCGCGTGCCCTCCTGCGAGCCTCGATGCTCGATTTTCGAGCCTCCAGCCTCGACGTTCGATGCTCGAGCCTCGATGCTCGATTTTCGAGCCTCCAGCCTCGACGTTCGATGCTCGAGCCTCGATGCTCGATTTTCGAGCCTCCAGCCTCGACGTTCGATGCTCGAGCCTCGATGCTCGATTTTCGAGCCTCCAGCCTCGACGTTCGATGCTCGAGCCTCGATGCTCGATTTTCGAGCCTCCAGCCTCGACGTTCGATGCTCGAGCCTCGATGCTCGATTTTCGAGCCTCCAGCCTCGACGTTCGATGCTCGAGCCTCGATGCTCGAGCCTCGGGCCTCGAGCCTCGGACGCAGCCCCCCCCCGCAGGCGATCCTGGTGCGCGGTCGCCCACCCCGTGGCCGCGACGGGGCCCGCGTGCGGGAGGTGCGCCGCGCGAGCGTGTCCTTCGGCGCCGCCGCCGCCATCGCCGCCGCCGTCGTCTTTGTTGTCGTCGGCGTCGGCGTCGTCGCCGTCGCCGTCCCGCCGTCTCACCTCCTCTTCCTTCTCCTCCTCCTCCTCCTCCTCCGCCTCCTCCTCCTCCTCCTCATCAGCATTGCCATCATCATCACCATCACTATCACCATCACCATCACCATTACCATCATCATCACCATCATCATCATCATCATCATCATCATCATCATCATCATCATCATCATCATCATCATCATCATACGCATCATCATCATCATCATCATCATCATCATCATCATCATCATCATCATCATCATCATCATCATCATTTTCATCATCATCATCATCATCGTACTCATCATCATCAGCATCGTCATCGTCATCACTATCATCATCAGCATCGTCATCATCATCAACAGCATCATCATCAGCAGCATCCTCATTATCCTTATCATCCTACTACTACTACTACTACTACTACTACCACTACTACTACTACTACTACTACTACTACTACTACTACTACTACTACTACTACTACTACTACTACTACGACTACGACTACGACTACGACTAATACTACTACTACTACTACTACTACTACTACTACTACTACTACTGCTACTACTACTACTACTACTACTACTACTACTACTACTACTACTACTACTACTACTACTACTACTACTACTAC